AGTGTTTCTCAGGCATTTGAGATTCCTCTATTGAGAATTCGGTTTAGGTCTGTACTCCCATTTTAACTGGGTTATTTGTTTTCTTGATATTTGGTTTTTTGAATTTCTTATATATTTTCAATATTAGCCCTCTATCTGATGTGCACTTGGTAAAAAAATTTTTCCTATTTTACAGGCCTCCACTTTGTCCAGATGATGGTATCCTTTGACATACAGAAGCTTTTCAGTTTCATGAGGTCCCATTTATTAATTGTTGACATGTGCCTGTGCTAACAGTGTGCTGCTAAGAATTTTTTTCCTGTGCCAATGAGTTCAAGGCTATTCCCCACTTTCTCTTCTGTCAGGTTCAGTGTATCTAGTTTTATGTTGAGGTCTTTGATCTACTTAGAGTTGAGTTTTGTGGAAGGTGGTAAGTATGGATCTATTGGCACTCTTCTGCATGCTGCCATCCAGTTTGGCCAGCATCATTTGTTGAAGATGCTGTCTTCTTTCCTTTGTGTATTTCTGGATTCTTTATCAAAAAGCATGTGTCCATCGGTGTATGGATTTATATCTGGGTCTTCCATTTGGTTCCATTGATTAATGTCTGTCTTTGACCTGATGTCATGTTGTTTTTATTACTATAGCTGTGTAGTATAGTTTGAGGTCAGAGATGGTGACACCTCCAGAAGTTCTTTGATTATTCAGGATGGTTTCAGCTATCCTGGGTTTTTTCTGTCCTCTCAAGATCTGTGAAAAGTTGTGTTGGGATTTTGATAGGGATTACATTGAATCTGTAGAATGCCTTTGGTAGTTTGGACATTTTTACTATGTTGATCCTACTGATCCATGAGCATGGGAGATCTTTCCATCTTCTGGTATCCAATTTCTTTCTTCAAAGACTTGAAGTTCTTGTCATACATGTCTTTCACTTCTTTGGTTAGAGTTACCCCAAGATATTTTATATTGTTTGTGTCTATTGTAAAGGATGTTGTTCCCAGATTCTTTTCTCAGTCTGTTTGTCATTTGTTTATAGGAGAGCTACTGATTTTTGTGAGTTTATTTTGTATCCAGCTATTTTGCTCACAGTGTTTATCAGCTGTGAGAGTTTCCTGGTATAATTTTTAGGGTCATTCATATATACTATCACATCATCTGCAAATAATGATATTTTGACTTCCTTCTTTCCAATTTGTATCGCCTTAATCTCCTTCAGTAGCCTTATTGCTCTAGCTAAGACTTCAAGTGCTACATTGAATAGTTACGGAGCAAGTAAACAACTTTGTCTTGTTCCTGATTTTAGTGGAATTGCTTTGAGTTTCTCTCTATTTAAATTGATGTTGTCTATGGTCTTGCTGGAAACTGCCTTTGATATGTTTAAGTATGTCCCTTGTATTCCTAATCTCTCCAGGACTTTTATCATGAAGGGGTGTTGGGTTTTGTCAAAGGCCTTTTCTGCATCTAATGAGATGATCATGTGGTTTTTGTCTTTCAGTCTGTTTATATGGTAGATTACATTGACTGATTTTTGTATATTGAACTATCCCTACATCTCTGGGGAAGCCTACTTGATCATGGTAGATGATTTTTGTTATGTGTTCTTGAATTTAGCTTGCAAGTATTTTATTGAAAAATTTGCATCTATGTTCATACGGAAAATTAGTCTGTAATTCTCTTTCTTTGTTGGGTCTTTATGTAGTTTATGTAGCAGGATAATTGTGGACTCAAAAAACAAATTGGGTAATATTCCTTCTGTTTCTATTCTGTGTGATAATTTGAGAAGTATTGGGGTTAGCTCTTCTTCAAAAGTCTGGTAGACTTCTGCACTAAAACCATCTGACACTGGGTTTATTGCTTTTGTTTTTGGAAGAATTTTAATGACTAATTCTATTTCACTAGGGCTCATAGGTCTATTTAAACTGTTTATCTGATCTTGAGTTAGCTTAGAGTGGTATGTATCTAGAAAATTATCCAATTTTTTTAGATTTTCCAATTTGGTAGAGTTTGTCTTTATGGGTCTTTGGGTTTCCTTGGTGTCTGTTGTTATGCCCCCCTTTCATCTCTAATTTTTTTAATTTGGATCTTCTCTTTCCACCTCTTAATTTGGAGAAGGGTTTGACAATCTAACTGATTTTTCTCAAGAACTAACCTTTGTTTCATTGATTCTTTGTAATTTTTGTTTGCTTCTATTTTATTGATTTCAGCCCTGAGTTTATTCCTTACCATGTACTCCTTTTGGTGTAATTTCTACTTTTATTCTAGAGCTTTCAGGTGTGCTATTAAGTTACTAGTCTGTGATTCAGAACCACCTTCATTGTGTCCCATAAGTTTGGGTATGTCGTGTTTCCATTTTCATTCAATTCTAGAAATTAGTTTCTATCTTATTTCTGTCATTCAGTAGTGAATTGTTCAGTTTCCACAAGTTTGTAAGCTTTCTCTTGTTTCTGTTGTTGTTCATATCCAGCTTTAACCTGTGGTGGTCCCATGGGATGCAGGGTGTTATTTTAGTTTCATTGTATCTGTTGAGACCAGCTGTGGGAGTATGTGGTCAGTTTTGGAGAAAGTTCCATGAGGTGTTGAGAAGAAGCTATATTCTTTTGTGTTTGGGTGAAATCTCTGTAAGGAAGGTTCATTTGGTTTATAGTGTCAGTTAGCTCCAGCATTTCTCTGTTTAGTTTTTGTCTGGATGACCTGTCTATTGGTGAGAGTTAGGTATCGGAGTCTCTCTCTCTGAGTGAGTCAATATATGATTTAATTTGTAGTAGTGTTTCTTTTACGAATGTGGGTGCACTTGTGTTTGATGCACAGATGTTAAGAATCAATGTCCTCTTCATGGATTTTTCCTTTCATGAGTATATAGTGTCCTTCCCTAACTCTTCAAATTAGTTTTGGTTTTGAAGACTATTTTGTTAGATATTAAAATGGCTACACCAGCTTGCTTCTTAGGTCATTGTTCTTGGAATATCCTTTTCCAACCCTTAACCCTGAGTTGATGTCTTTCCTGATGCTGAGGTCTGTATCTTAGATGCAGCAGAGGGAAGATGGATGTTTTCACATCCATTCTGTTAGTCTGTGTCTTTTTATTGGTAAATTGAGACCATTGATGTTGAAATTGATCAATGAGCAGTGTTTGTTGATTTATGCTACTTTGTTGTTGTAGTGATGGTGGTGGTGGTGTGCATATGTATGTGTGTTTCTCCTCTTTTGATTCACTTGTCTGGGATTATTTATTCCTTGTAAATTTGTGGGTGTGGTTAATCTCTATAGATTGGGTGTTCCTTCTGGGACCTTCTGTAGCGGTGGATTTGTAGATAGATATTGCTTAAATCTGGTTTTATCATGGAAAGTCTTATTTTCTCCATCTATGATGATTGAAGGTTTTTCTGGGTAGAGTAGTCTGGGCTGGCATCAGTGTGGTCTCTTAGAGTCTGCAGCACACATGCCCAGGCCCTTCTAGCTTTTAGAGTTTCCCTTGAGGAGTCAGGTGTAATTCTAATACGACTGCTTTAGCTTTTAATATTCTTCCTTTGTTCTATACATGTAGTGTTTTGATTACTAATAGCTGAGGGCAATTTCTTTGCTGGTCCAGTCTGTTTGGTGTACTTCTGTATGCTTCTTGTACTTTGATAGGCATCTGCTGCTTTAGGCTAGGAAAACTTTATTCTATGATTTTGTTGAAAATATTTTCTGTGTTTTTGAGCTGGGTTTCTTCTTCCTCTATTACTATTGGTCTTAGACTTGGTCTTTTCATAGTGTCCCGGATTTCCTGGATGTTTTGTACCAGGATTTTAGTTAGATTCAACATTTTCTTTGACGGAGGATTCCATTTCATCTGTTGTGTCTCAGTGCCTGGAATTCTCTCGTCCACTTCTTGTATTCTGTTGGTGAGGCTGGCTTCTGAGGTCCCTCAAGTTTTCATTGCCAGATTTCCCTTAGTTTGGGATTCCTTTAATGATTCTCTTTCTGCTTTCATGTCTTGAACTGTTCTATTCATCTCCTTTCACTCCATTTGTTTGCATAGGTTTCTTTAAGGGATTTGTTCATTTCTCTGTAAGGGCCTAAGAATATTCATAAAAGTTATGTTAAAGCCCCGTCTTCTGCTTCACCTGTGCTGCAGATCCTGGGACTGCTGTAGTCTAACGGAGACGTATTGTCCTGGCCGTTATTGACTGTGTGTTGATGCTGGTGTCTAGGCTCTTGGGTTTGGGGTGATTGTAAATCTAGGTGCTGCTTTCTGGTCTTACCTTTGTTGGATGGGTGTTTTATTCCTTCATTTCTGTCGCCCTCTCTAGTTCTTAGGCTGGTATAGTGCCTGCGTATTGTCTGGAGGGAATTCTTCTGGGTTCCTGCCAGGTGTGGCCACTGAGGTTTCCAGGTAAAATGTGTTTCTAGGCATTCAGATCAGACACTTAGGAATGGGGATGGACTAAGGGAGGGGATAGGAGAGGGTTCACAGGAGGGAAGAAAGCAGGAGGGTCTACTGTGTCTGTTTAGTCCCCTGGGAATGGCATCAGAGAGTGAAGAGAGGCCACAACAGGTAGCCTGCTCCAGAGAGCTGAGGATGAGATGAGGGGATTGAATTTGGAGAAGAGGAGGGAAGAGTGAAGACATAAATCATGCCCGCCTGCATCATTGACCTACTAGCTTCTCTGCGGGCTTGACTGGTGGTGTCTGGGATAACAGGATGAGTAGGAGGAAGGTTGGGGGAGAAGATCTGAGTAATCTGCTGGAGATGGGGGCAGAGAGGAATGGCCATTTTTTTTTTTAAATGGCCAGGGTGAAGTCAAGAATAGTGGACACTTTTTGTTTTCCTCCTGAGCGGATGGGGAAGTACAAGAAGCTTTGGTGAAAAAAGAGGGGAGGGGGGAGGATCATTGAGTGTGTGTGTGTGTGTGTGTGTGTGTGTGTGTGTGTGTGTGTGTGTATTTTGCTGATATGGATGGGGCTGAGAGATTTATTCATTCACACAGAAGTGGCCAGGCTACAATTCAAAAGTCACAGATTCCATTTCTCTACAAAAAGAAGATACCAATGCCAAGGTTTATTCAACTGGAGTCACAGTTTTCCTAAGGATGAATTCCTACTTCAAGGGTCTAGGTGGCTCACAAAGCTGACCACACATGCCTGGAAATGCCACAGCTCTTCTCACAGTTACCACAAGATGGCAGCATTTCACCAAAGATGTCCCTCTCATCGACTATAAGAGAAAGAAGTAGAAATCAAGAAGCGAACTGGTTGAGAATTCATAAAACTAGAGAGTTCAAAAGAGTTCCAAACCCTGATCGTCCCCCGATTAAATGAAGGCCTGTAACCTGAGTGCTCACTTTCAACTAGAATGGCTTCCAGCCTCCTACAACGTAGAACGAGTCCCATTTGATTCCTTCCGCGCTGTCCTGCACTCACCACATGGGGGCAGTAAAGGCCCTTTCTCATCAGAGTCGTTTTGTTTTCAGAGTTGATGGTTCTGAATCCATCCTGTTCAAGACGTTTCGGGTTATTCTGAAAGGAGGATGTACAGTCTTCTCTTGTGGCTGCTAAACCTCCCTGAGCTGTCACTGGCACCGTGGGAGCGAGGGCAGGGTCACAGGGGTCACAGGGGTCACAGGGGTCACAGGCGGAGTCACACTTTCTCCACGGTCGGCCTCACACATTCGGTAATTTTCTGCCTTCCATCCCCACGGCTCCACAGTTGTCTCGGCCTTCTTGAACTCTGCTTCAAGCACCTCCTGAGCTCCCGGTTCATCCCGATGCGACTCTATTTGATTTCTTGAGAAGAGGGACCATGTTCAGTATTTGCAGTGAGTATACCGCACACCCTGGGGATCCACGAAGATGCTAACAAGTTGGGTGGTTCAGAGTCACACGGGAGACGAGAGAATATGTGAGGAGAGTCATAAAGGACTATACAGAGCCATCTTCACTCCCTCGGATGGGATGCCTCCAGTATCAACAGTAGCTTTAAGCCCAATAGCAAGGCTGCTGTGGATCCCTCACACCCCTATCCCACGGGGGACATGTGGCAGTGCTCATGGTAAGCATGGTAACGTGCTCATGCTTTGGTTCTGGCCATCACTACTTGGGTGAACATTGCTGGAAAGAAACAATGGAGAGAATTCAAGAAGGTTATTCGGAGATGAAGAAAATCGAGAAAAAGGAGCTTCTGTGAGGAGTTTAAAGTTTACTGGGGGAAAAATAGGAATAAATAGTGAGTGGGCAGACAGATTGGCGAACGTTGTCCTCAGAAAGGAAGTAGACTTTGTGAAATCCCTTCCGTCTCTATTCCCCTGCCCCTGTAATTCAGGATGCTCCGTCTGCATCTCTGTCTGCCCGGCTACTGCTCAGATTGTATCTGTGCTGGGTGAGGCAATGCCTTCTTGGCGCTCCCTTCATACACACTCGGTGTTTGTAGACAGTTATCGTATCATTAGTCACTGCCTAGCAAGTTTGCTTTCATGTTTCCACAGAGAGGAGTCCCTCCCACCCCCTCGGCCGTGTCTGCCCCACTCTCTGATCTCCTTCCAGCACTCCCGTCTTCTTCAGGCCCCAGCGCTCTTCACTAACAACTTACTGTCTCAGGTAAAAGATCAAAGTTATCAGGGGAGCGTGGGGGATGCTGTGTAGACTCGGGGCGGGGAGGGGGTGGGAGAGAATTAACACTTCTCTAAAGCCAGAACCAGAATCAAAGAAACTTCCTTACTGGCCACCTCATTTGTACAAAAATGTCTAAACTATATTCAAAGTACGCGACTATTGCGAGCATACCTCTAAAATGTATTGAAGACATGTAATGCTTTTCTTTCTCCTCATTAGAGAAAATCTATTACAGAAACCATAAGCTCGTGTAGAGCACAGCACAAGAAGACCCAAGGCGAAAGGAATGAGGATCACAGGAAGAGGCCTCAGCCTTGAGCCAGAAGAGTCCCCGCTCTGAAGCCTCAGCAAGCAGTCATGCCGGGAGCAGGCATGAGCCGGTTGGAACAGAAGATGGGGAGGAGGTGCCAGAAGATGGGAGTTGAGTTGATTTATGTCTGCTGGCCTCGATTATCTTGATGAATCAGGAGGTGAGAGGGAATGGTAATGGAGTAGTTCTGAAGAAAATCAGACCAGCACAGCCTCGAAAGGAGAGGCATTTAGGACTCAGCAGAAAGAGAACACCCCTACCCGGCTGGACTTTTAAGCTGAAAGTTCGGTACCCCTTACCCCAACATGGCAGTAATATCATCAACACTTGTTCATTCTGACTGTCCCTGTTCCCCTCGGTCCTGTGCTCTTCCCCATCCTGACAGCCATTCTCTCAGAACAGGTCCACCACTTGTCTCATCATCTGCAGTGAAGCCCAGGTGATCTTCCTCCTCTGTGTCCCCACCCCCACCACACAGGCATCTAAGAAACCTCGGCACATGGCTCCATGTAAAAAGTCCTCAGTGACTTCCTTGCCTGTGAGACATAAGACTGGATAAATTGAAAAAATGGCAACAAAACTTCTCAATTATATAAATACATTTTTGCATAGTGTGGTGGTTTAAATAAGAATGTCTCTCCCTGCTGGGTTCATAGATGTGGACACTTGGTCCTTAGGGAGCGGCACTACTTGACAGGGATTAGAAGGTGTGACTTTTTTGGAAGAATTGTGTAACTGTGGACTTTGAGGTTTCAAATGCTCAAGCCAGGACCAGTGTTCCTTTTTCTCTTCCTGCTGCCTGCAGACCTGAATATAGAACTCTCAGCCACCTCTCCAGCACCACGTCTGCCCGAGTGCCTCTATGCTCCCTGCCATGAGGATAGTAGACTAAACTTCTGAACTGTAATTAAATTACGGTTTTCATTTTTAAGAGTTGCTGTGGTCATGGTGTCTCTTCACAGCAATAGAACATCGACTAAGACATCTATCTGGTAACTTTGCATCTCTTCTTTTTGAGAAATGGGGCCCATCCTGACTTGGGCTTAAACATGTGACTGAAGACAACAACTAAAAATGTCACACACACACACACACACACACACACACACACACACACACACACACGGTGGGGGGAGCTTAAGCTTGTGTCCTTCTTGATCTTCTTTGACACTTGGAGAAGAAGTCCATGTGATGAGGCTCATCTCGGTGAGTTAGACAGGACACCACACAAAGAGACTGAACATCATCCATATTGCAGACAAGACCATCATCACCCAGGCAACTCCAGCTACAAAAGAATGGCTCAGGTGAGCTCACCCCAAAGTATTAACCCACTGGCTAATAAACTAAACTCCCTATAGCTAAAATGTTTCTCGGGTCCCACCTGGCCTCTAGCAGTCCAGACAAATCCCTCACCCATGTTTTAAAAACTTACACTTTCCTGGACAACGAGACACATCTGTTCCTGGCAGCACTGATTTACTTCACAAAGGATGGGCATCGAAGACACTCCATATGGAATTTATCTTATTTCTTGGCAGAACTGGCCATTCGGGCAAGAAACTGTTCTTGCCTGGACTGATTGACAGAATGTTGTATAAACTGGACATGCAGGACCCATAGGAAGGTGGCCACTGAACTTTGCAAGATGAGATGGTCCTTCAGGTTACTGCTTCACAGAGGAGACTGCCAGACATTATACAGGACACAGAGAGAAGCAACTGAGAAACTCTAGGACTGCAGGCTAAAGATGGATGCACCAACATTACAGAGGAACTTTGGGTGACTGTCCAGGCAGACAGCTGTCTCTGTCATTCTAGATTTTTGGAAGTTGCTTACAATGCTCTTCCTGTTTACTTAAGTAGTATTAAATCCTTCTGAGGTCTTTGGTGTAGTTGAAGACTAGATAGTTATAATAATTTTCCTTGGTTATGATAAAAGATAAATTAGATATGAAACCTTAGACTCACAAATATAGGATAGATAGAATATTTTCTTTAAGTTTGCCAAATATAAATAGACTGGATATTATAACTGTAATCTTGCTTGATAACTGTTTTTTTATATGTAATTTTACAAGGTTGAAGTTAAAGTCTTCCTTTTTGATTAGACAGAAAAGGGGAAGTACTGTGGGATGTCTTTCTGTATGCTGTGAATATGTGTTACTCTGATTGGTTGATAAATAAAGCTGTTTGGCCAATGGTGAGGCAGAATAAGGCCAGGCAGTACATTCCAACTGGAGAAAGAGGAAGAGGAAAGGAGAAGCACAAGAGATGCTGGAAGCTGCCAGGAAAAGCAAGATGTGAAAGTACTGGTAAGCCATGAAGTCACATGGCAACTTACAGATAAATAGAAATGGGTTAAGTTATAAGAGCTAGCTAGTGAGAAGCTTGAGCCATAGGCCATACAGTTTGTAAATAATATAAGCCTCTGTGTGTTTACTTGGGACTAAGCAGCTTCGGGACGCGAGTGGGAGACATTTGTCCCAACCTCGGGCCAGGCAGGAAAACTTCTGACTACACTACCAAGGATTGAGAAGGCGGAAGGCCAGGCCTTCGATGGAGTAACTGAAACATCTGGGGTACAAATTCCAAGACAGTCCTCTCGTCTGAGACCATGAATGCTCCTTAAAGCTCCTACCGCTAAGCCCACCTTACCTGCCTCACGACATTCATTGGTTACATGGCCATAGGAAATGGATACAAGGATCCTCTTCATCAGGTCCCTGGGAAGTTTATCCTAGCCAGTCAGCACCTGGACCACGGCCTTTACTCTCCCTCATCTTCACTGTATCTTATACCATATTACTATGCACTCCTCCAGGTAGACATTGTGGTCAGGCACCTGCCTCAGACTTTCCAGCAAGTGAAGAAACATGCATTTGGGATACAGAATCCCTGTGAGTGCAAGGCCAGCCTTGTCAATATATTGAGTTCCAGGTCAGCCAGGGGCTATATAGTGAGATGAGACTGAGACATGGGGGGAAGGAAGGGAGGGGGGGGAATCAAGCAGATTCTTGACCTTGGAATTTAAACAAGGAAAAGTAAAGAAGATCTACCAGAGATCTACCAGTAGCAACCCATTACGTTCTGCCTGTGAAATGCCCAGATCACCAGGACCCCGAATTGCATTCCAGAACCTGTCTCCTGGAAGCAGCATAGTACTGTCTTCTCTCCAACAAGATCTCCATGAGATTGCTGCCTCCCTTGAGCTAGCTTGCTGGGGGATTTTGTCTCCCACCAGTCAGCTCCTGGTCTTTTTCCTGCTTTTGTTCTGTTCGTCCTTTGTGTTCCTGTGAAGTTGCATCCGTCCACTAAGCCTGCATTCTCTCTGTCCCTTTGCTTGGGTCGTTGTTTTGATGGAAGACTCTCCCTTTCATGTTGGTTATGAAAGATGCTGTCGATGCTCCTACTAGAAGACATGTATGGTCTTCTATGTCATATACCTATCCTCCAAGCTCTTTCTGCATGCCTTGATGGCAATGGCTCATACCCTACACATGTAGTCTCTGAAGAATTTCAGCACCTGATATGCCAGAAGTTTTCCGTCTTCAGTCTCTCTCCATCGAGGTAGCTCATAACCAACTAATGAGGGTTCGGGTACAAAAGCCAAGCAAATTCTGGGATGTACCACATGTTCCAGAGTTCCTTTGGGAACTGAGCTGCGTCTGGAACTTTACTTAAAATACCCCCATGCTTGGCTTCTTCACATTTTTATACGATGCTCTTAGCTCATCTCTGGTTCCTTTTAGAAGCAATTTCGCAGCACTTATTCCCTAGAGACACTCTTACTATGTGTGTAAATTATACTTAATTATCCTTTAAATCAAGTGCCCCTGACCCCTTTGAAAGAGAATTAATCACCCTTTCCTCTGGACCACTACTGACATTCATTCATAGCAATGGCAATGGTTACAATTAAGCAAATCAACATCTATAATTGAACGAATCTCCCCCCCCCATAGGTCAATGACTATTAGAGGAGAAGGGTGAGGTTGTTGCTGTCTACTGTATGTCTTCCATAACCACTAGGGATGAAGAGTACATTTGTGGATGAGGAAACTTTGGGCATTGCCTTGAAGTCTGCCTCTCTCTAATTTCTTACTGGTACCAATTCTTACTTTTTCACACAGCCAGGTTAACTTCCCACCAAGCTGCAAGTCTCAACAACTCTGCATCTAGAGAGTCTCTCACATGCTTTTGAGTCACATGATTTAGCATCTTCCTGCTACTCTCAAGTCTGTCAGTGTCCTCTCAGAGCCTGGTAATCAAAACTGAAAACAAGAGGCTGACATGAGACAGATCTGTGGCAACTTACCTCCTCTAAAAGCTGGACAGGTTTTGTTTGTTTTCTTAACTGAGACTAAAATGTTTGCTGAAAACACTGGTGTGGTGTTACCCTGCGGATGCCACATAAAGAGAGCAATCAGTTAAAACCACCAGGCTCCCTTACATGGAGATGT